AAGATCCACATTCAAAAACACGATATTCCACGATGAAAACAATCCAAAAATCACAAATCAAATCAACTCAAAACCTTAAACGATATCTGCTTGGCCAGGCTCCGTGCTTCTTCCGCCATGCTGATCGCAGCACCACCGTTATTGCTGCTCGCTGAAGTGTTGTCACCGTTCGCGCTCGATGAATTCTGCGAGTTCCTGTCCAACAGGGCATCGCACATACGCAGACCACACTCTGCACACATCCAATCACGACTTCTGCAACACAATACCACAAAATTCACTCATCCATACAAAAAAATCTCCCTTTTTAATCGATCTGATTGCATTTTTCAGTTAAAAAATGCCAAAACACCTAACAAAAAGTCTGCAAAATAAGAAAATCTCTGCAAAAACTCACGCAATCGCCAGTTTCTTTCGTTCCGACGGTGGATACTCCAACGAGCCGAGCGCACCGGCCGAATGCGTCGGCATGAAACCAATCAGAGCCAACAGGGCGGTACGAACTGAAACATCATTTCTCTCAGATACTATCCGAAACGCCTTCAAAAACGAACAAATTTTTTCCCAAACCAAGCAAAATACCCTTGTCTAAAAATAAAAAAAATCACCCCAAAGCACACAAATCAATCACAAAAAGCCCACTAACTCGACCACGACGGTTGCCACGACTCCGGATGATGTCCCGATATGCTCAGACAAATCTTCTGATTCAACTGGAAGCGTCCATTCGGCTGCAACACCAACAACGAAATGCTCACAAAATAATAAAAAGATTCAAACATGTCAAATATCACCAAACACTCGCCATATCTTTCAATCGAATGCACAATTTTACGTGCAAAAACCAACCGTAAGCACCTCAGTTGCAATCAATATTTTAACATCGCCACGCCATCTCACTGTGAGCGAAATCGAATTCCGGTAATTTCACTTTCCACCGGTAATTCCAATTACCACCGAATTCCGGTAATTTCATTTCCCAGCCCACTTCCGGTAATTTCACTTACCACCCAAATTCACCACCACCAAAATAATTACAAGACAAATAAATCGTCAATACCGTTAACAAGATGACACTCGGTGGTTTCATCGGGTAGTCCACGGGTAAGAGAATACGTCCGTGATATATGCCTCCATCGAAGTCCGTGTCTGCCGGTCCACGCACCGTGAAATGCCACTCGAACAGATTATCCTCAAATCGAAGCATTCCACGATGATATTTCCACAAAAAACTACCAATCTAACCAAACACAAAGCAATTTCACGCCAACTTCCTCATAACGA